ATGAGATGAGATGGATAAGTCTAATGCTATGGACTAGCAAATGAGGAAGTGAATTATTGCATATCGAGTTGTTGTGATGTGAATGTTGAGTCCATACATTCATACTTTGTTTGCGGGATAGTGAGTCTATACAAGTGGGATATCATAGGTCATCTACTTATGTCTCAAGGGATGTTATGGTGGGGAACCTCTAACGTGAAACCATAACCAACTGTAACACTTTGATAGGATCCTAATAAACATCCCCTGATTGAGGGTGGTTTAGAGGGATCACTATAGATGGGTGGTCCTTATACTATAGATTGGCGGTCTCGTTCCATGGCTTTTAGGATATTCTATAGTAATAGTACCATATGTGTGTAGAGTTAGGAGCATCCATTGCATGAGTCTTATTTTATAATTAAAATAAATTATATGACTTGTTGATCATAAATGATGAATGATTTTATGGAAATTATATTGTAGAGGTGTGGATGGAGATTTATATGTATTATGAGGTGTACTTGTTGTATATGTGTGTGTCTATTCATATGCTCCACATATGTTGTGCATGGATGAGATATATTCTCACTCCCTATATTTGTGTTCTTGTGTTTGGGCTAATCACCATTTACAAGCTTAAACCAAATACAAGGGGATGTATTTGATAGATGAGAGACTTAAGAAAGGGTTTTGCTATAATTAGTATGCATCGGGGCGAAGATTTTAGTTTTAGTATTTAATTTGAAATTATTTAGATTTTATTTCGTCATGTTTCATTGTTGGAATTTTGTTCAATTACGCGATTTGTACCTTGTCTTAATTTCACGCATTATTTTGACTATTTTTTTTCATATAAAGTTGTTGAAAAAAGTAATGAACCCTTTTACTAAGTATTGACATTTAAGAAGTTGTTATTATAAGAAGTTGTTGATTTAAAATTATTAAATTATTTATTTAATTATTCAAGGTAGAACGTTTTCACATATGGTACAGATCCTAATGGTGAAACAAAAGATTGGTTCATGAACACTAGATCAACAATTTTTATGAACCCATATTTTCAAGATATTTTAGGTCTATCAAAATTCATGCAAGATTTAGATTTACACAACAAAACACATTCAAGACATGTTAAGAACACATTTTTCATAGAAAAGTTAAAGAAAATTAGAAGAATACAACTCTATGGATGAATTAAGGCTCTAGATGCCAAAATAATGGAATCTCCTTGTAGAATGGATTGGTGATTTCCTCGAAGGACCTTCCATGCTCTTCAAGATCCTTCCATGGATCTAAAACATAAAAGAAAATTAAAAAATGAAGAGAAATAGAGAGAGAGAAAGAGTGTGAGTGAGAGAGAATGTAGTTGGTGCACCACATATTAAGGAAGAGGATAAGCAAGAGATGATGCATTTGCCACAAGGAGAGCTAATTTCCTTGATAAAAGTGTTTAAGGAGAGAAATTTTCCTAAGAGATTCAAGAGAGAATGAAAAATATTTATGAAAATTCTACTCCAATAAATCTCAAAAGTGATGTCTACAATGAGAAAATTGCCATATATAGAACTAGAAAGCTTATGAAGCAAATTAAAATAAACTAGTTTCAATTTGAACCATGGTAGCCTAACTAGGGTGAGTTGGTCATCCACTTTTTGAATTCAAAACTTGGCTCCAACTTTCCATGTGCATCATGTGCTTCTAGATCTAAGATTCAAACTAATTGATGAAAGAAGACTATGTAGGGAAAGTGTGACTTAATTTGGTTGCCATGTGATTAACATTTAAATCTGAATTTGGTGACACCATGTACACTTAAATCAATTTAGTCGGCCATATATGCTTCTAATTCAATTCAAATGTTAATGGTGGCCCACAAATAAGTTACACTTCCTAGTCCAAAAAATTACACTTTAAAGGAAATTAATTACAATAATTTCCTTATACTACTTGACCCAGAGTACAAAGCCCAAAACAAAGAAAACTATGTATATACAATGGTTCAAGAGGTATTGAACTAATGTAAACAGCAGCTTATAGTTCAAGATGAACTTAGGCCCACTAACCTCAACATGGGCCCAATCCTCTTTAGCCTAGTCCACTTCTTTAGGCTTCTTTTGGATAGTACCCCTGACTTGATTTCATCAATTCCTATAAAAGTAAAACAAGTTGAGTTAGTCCTTAAGAGATACTAATTCCATCTTATTTAGTTTGGACAATATATATAATTAGATCATTTTTATTTTACTCACTATTACAATGATCGTACATTTATGAGTTATCATCATGGTGGGAATCATCTACTGGAAGAATGTATTTTTGGTTATGTTTACCCGTGGGCATATTTTTAGTTATGTCTACTACCAGTGAAAATCTTATTTTTAGTAGAGCATTAAAATGATTTAATTATATCTACTACCCAATATTTAGGAATTTTTTTTAAACAAAATGGAATTATCATTTCTCAATGACTAAATTTTGCTTGTTTTACTTTTATAGGGACTAATTTAATAAAAACATAAAAAAATTAGAAAATCAAAAGTGAATTTGAAAATTTTAGAAGGAGTAAAAAAAAAACACTTTTCATACACCATATGTATTTCCATTTGTCATGTAGGACATCATCACTAACAAAGTTACAAAAAAAGGATTGACATTAGAATGTTATAATTTTAGAAGGACTAATTTAATAAAAAAAAATTGGAGGACTAAAAGAAAATTTGAAAATTTTAGACGGATTAAAAGAAACTTTTACCCATTGAAAAATAATATACATACTACATTATTAACAATATAATTAAATAAATAAAGTTTTAACACAAAAATAAAATTATTAATATTTTTTACATATTCACTACATTTAAAAAAAATTTATTCTCTATTCATACGAAATCAAGAAATAAAAAATAAATAATCTAGTTATTGCATCTTTGCTTTCTCTTTTCTTTCATCTTTATTGTTGGTTATTTAGTATATTCTAAATGGAATATAAAAAAAAATTTATAAAGTTTTTTTATAAGATTATCTTTGTTCATCACATATGTGTGTGAGTGCATATGAATTGTTTTTGTTATGTTAGTTTTTTTTTATTTTAAACACTGAATTATAATATAATAGAGAAAACTATTTTTTCACAAAAATTAAAAAAAAAAGGCTCACATGCATATTTAAAAATAGATTTGTTGACTTATTTAAAATTAGGTTTATTGTCTTATTTAACATTATTAATATAAAATAGACTTTTAAATAAGTTAATATAGGTAAATCTGACATTTAAAAAGGTCAAGCCAGACCTATATATTTAAAGTCTGACCTGAACTACTCTAATTCTAGTGTTAGTCAAGCATCTTTATACAAGTCAGTATCAGAACAACTATATAAAAGGTTATCTCTAGCATGGTCATTCAACAACGCTCGTCCTTCTTTTCTAATCTTGATTTGTTTTTATACCAAATATGATTATTACAGTCCAACACATGAAAAAGTAAGGTTAGGATTGTGAAAAAAATAACATCATAAAAGGAGTAGTAACTTCATGAACTCAAATAACAAGAAACAACTTTATAAACATCTCAACGTGTAACAATTTTCTTCCCAACTTAATTCATCTTAATCAATATAAATAATTTAGTAAATAAACTTTTACTACATAAAACAACTTAATTAATCAACTTGTACAACATATCAACTTAAGCAAATTTTGTATCATCATTCATTTTTAACTTTGGAAATCTCCTACAGCTGAATGAGTGGTTTGAATGACTTAACTCTACCAAAACACAACGTCTAACTAGTCATCTTTGGGTTAAGTATAGGCAACTTTAGGCATGGTGACCTGTTCAATAACTTATTTTGATTTCTAAATTTTCATTACTTACATTAGGAAAGTTTAATATTATTGTCAAGAACAAAACAACTTAGGTGTAAACTTATTACGACATTAATATATGCATTAACTAAGCCTTATATAAGATTAGCCCGCCTACCCTTTAAATATTGTGCACCCTTCTAACATTCAATTAGGGATTTTGACCGCTAACTTCATACCTTACTTGATGGTCACTTATGACAAATATGACTTGGCCTATCCACCATATTTTTTCAACTTAAAAATCTAGAGGGAACAACTTTCAAAACAATTTCTCACTTAGAAGGCAACTTTCACGTTGAAGGGTTTCAATGCTAGGCTCATAGAGTACTATAACTTATATTCATACAATGAGACATTTTAATTTCTAAAACATTTTTTCTCTCCACTAATCTTTATGCAATTTTCTACTTAAAATATGCAATATATGCATATAACATATAGCATCGTTCAAGATACAACTTTAAACTTAAAGAACATGTACATCATCATATAACTTTATATATCATCATATGGTAGAAAAGGATCAGCATCTATCACTTAAATTATGTAATAATCAACTTAAAGTACCCACCTCTCATCAAAATCCAACTTCAAGAGACACACCAACAAAACAAGAAAATCTCGTTGGACGAGCAAAATCTCGTTAGGCACTCAAACCCCTTTGGGACCTCTGGCTGAACGAGCTATTATCACTCAACAAAAAAAGCTTATTGTAGCTCATTTTGCTAGACGAGCTTGATCCACTATGAGACACTATGCTAACCAACCACAACTCGTTGGCCGATTGAATCTCTTGTAAGTCCTCTCAATATATTTTAACGAGTCAATTATTTTCGACTTTAAATTTGGAATACTCGTAGTACACATATATACACAATTGAAGGAGCATGTGCACTACAAATTAAATATCATTAAATGCTTCACTTGAAAATGCTTGAGATTTCAAAGGAAAATATTAATTAATTAGTAGGAATTTTAAATAAAATTAATTGTAACAAAAGTTGAGAAGCTGGTTATTGTTTATGAGAAATAAACCTTTAACACCTTGACACCATAGAGTTTATCGATAGGATAAAACATTTTATGTTGTAAGAATGAAATTGAATTCATTCATAATTTATTTCATCGTAGAAGATGAAATTCATCTCAATTGGATAACCGTATTATATTACAAAATAAACACTAACAAGCAAAAACTTTATTCCTTTAAAAGAACTACGCTGAACTATTCCCTTTTATTTGAATCATATACTAGCCTAGCATCTAAGAATTGAGTAGCCCCCATTGGATTTTGATATTTCTATTTCCCTTTCATTCTATGCTTCACCATCACTATTTGACTCATGCAATTTAAATGAGCTTGAGCTGATTGGAGTGATGCTCGACCATATTTCATTACAAAATAACCACTTTAACAAGTGGAAACTTTATTCATTTAAAGGAACTAAACTGAACTATTTTCCTTTATTCCAATTATATACCTACCAACTTAACATCTATTAATTGAGTAACATCTCATTGGATTTTGATATTTCTATTTCCCCTTCATTTGGTGCTTCACCATCACTCATTGACTCATCATGAAACTTAAATAAGCTTGAGCTGCTTGAAGAGATCCTTTGAATTGGAGGAGATGGTGGTTGTCTGACAATCATATGCATCATCTGACCTATGCTATTACTTTCTATGGATTCTGGACCGTGATTTAGTAACTCATTTTCGAACTTGAAGGATTCTTGCATTTCATCATCAGATTCATTAGAGTCTGATGCACTACTATAGGTTGAATCTGACCTTGCAGGGGAGTAATCCCTTAATGTAGTGTCACATGTTCTGCCTTCCACTATGTCAGTCAAAGCATCAACAATCTGTAGTGACAAAAGATGAAGCAAAATAAAATAAAATATCACCTTAGAGTCTTGTCATACATTTTATTTAGTGTGTTTGGGTGAGCATTCACACAATTGATTTTGGTTAAAATTGATTTTGATGTGATGTATTTATGATTGGGTGTTTTTATTAATTTTAAAAGGAAATTAATGGTATAAGTTAATATAATTTTTATTATTTGATGCAATATTTATCTAAAGTTGTTTTAATTCATAATCAATTCTTTCAACGTAAAATCACATTAAAAATTTTACCTAAAATCATGTTAGCTAGTATTTCAATGCGATTTTGAAAATTCTAATATGAAATCAAACACACACTTAGTTGACCAAGAATGTAAGAAAATAATTATACATGTCTATTTTATTTTATATAATATAATATTTTCTCAAACACACACTTTATTGTTGTACATGTCTCAAACTTAAATAGAAAAATAATTTTTCTAAAGTAAGTGTGGGTCACAATTGAAAAATAGAAAGTGTTGAAGAATGTGCTTGTAGCATTTTTCTAATGACAATATTTATTTAAAGATTCTCGATTGAGAAATGCTAGCAACATGTTTTATAAAATATTCTTTCAACACTCATTCATTGGGCGAAATCTCACGTTAGACCTACTAACTGAGAGTGTCTTAGTGTACTTAGGTTATTTAGTAGGTTCTACATGGAATTTTGCTATGTAATGTTAAAAAAGAGTACTATTTTTTTTTTATTGTTTGTTCCTGTGTCCCGATCTTAAAAAACATTGGATAACTTTATATGAAACTAATAAGAACCATGCATATGTTTGCTATATATATAATTATGAACATCTTTTTTGCTAACTATTAAGTATTAATTTCTCTCCATTATTTTAAATTCTTCTCCAATTAAATAGATGAAATGGAACTATACTCCAAAAGAAATGATCCAATTATGTATGCCGACCTGAATCATATTTAGTCTCATTTGAGGATTCCTACTTAGACATTTCTCTGCCATTCGAACCATCCAAAATAGTTGATGGATATTATGAGAGTTGATCTTTTCATCAATTAAATCTGGATAGTTCCTCACTTTTAAAAGCGGCCTTGCCTGCATGAAATTTTAATGGAAAAACCAATAAGGATACTTAATTATATATGTTTATTTATTAGATGTTGGAGTCAAAACTTATATTATTTGATAGTATAGTTCAACAATCCATTGACCATTATTTTGTTCACAACTTGAAAATGAATCATCGTTATGCCAAAAGCAAAAAAAAAAAATAATAATAATAATAACCATAACTATTATTTCTATAAAGTCAAAAGAAAAAGAACATAATTATAATGAACAAAACTCAACTACAATTTTATAGGTGTGATTAGTCACTACAACACAAATAAATTTTAGCAACATTTGAAAAATGTTACTTAATTATGTATAAATGTTACTAATTTGTTTTAGCAACATATTATCAAATGTTGTATATAGTTCATGTTGCTAAAAAATTTTAATAACATTTTTATATAATTAGGCAACATTTTTCAAATGTTAGCAAAGTAATATTTTTGTAACATTTTAATGATGTTGTTAATATTTTGTTAATATATAAAATAATAATTAATTTTAATTTAGATATATTGCTATCAATTATTATATTTTTATGTCTCTTAAACTCTTAGGAATTCTTAGTTATTTTTTAGGGGAAAACATTTTTAATTAGTTACCACTAATTATATATAAAATATCAAATTTCATTTATCTTAAGTATAATTATATTGTTATATATATTTTTTATGAGTCATTAATCTATTCGATGTAAGACTTTAATTATAGATAATAATTAGAGGTAAGAGAAATATATTTTTTTTACTCGATGTGAGACTTTTATTTTAGAAGCAATTATAGTAACATTTTTCAAAAAAAATATTACAAAATAACCTATGTGAAATTTTTTAACTCGATATGAGATTTTGATTTTGAAAATAATTAAAAAAAATAATATTAAAATAAAAATGTTACTCTATCTATAATGATATTTTTTAAAAAGTGTTGCAAAATAACCTATTTATTTAATATTTAGTAATATTTTAACAAATATAAACAAAAAAATGTTGCTAAAGAATTAAAATCTAATAATGAGTATTCTCCAATTAAAATGAGAGATTAACTTTGATAATATATATGTATTAATATATATTAATTAGATTAATTAAGTTTGTATTAAATGTGAGTGCATATTATTAGGGTGAATCTCCGATTCTAATTGGAGAACATCATCAATCTCATTTATGATGATTGATGTTACTCATATACTTAGACTAAAAAAATCCAAATTAGCATAAGTGAACTACCAACTTTACCTAAATGTCTTTAACGATTGAGTTTTTATTTTCAAAAGGGATTAAAAAATTAGCATATTCATTACTCTGGTCCTTGATGAGTTGAATCACAATTAGTATGAAAACTAGTTTGAATCACAATGATGCCTTGATGAGTTGAGGTTGTACTAAAGCATTTAGATACTTAAAGTGAAATTTCATGGTATTTAGATTGTTACCCATCCCACAAGACTTCTTCCTCCAAGTCGTTTATCTGTAGTTCTCATCCCTGTAATTAGTTGTAGTAGAACCACCCCAAAAGAATATACATCTGTTTTGGTAGATACTTTGCCATGTTCAGCATATTCTGGTGCCAAATACCCCAAAGTTCCAATAACTTCTGTAGAGTGTATTGAGTCTTGATTTTGATTTCTTGCTAACCCAAAGTCTCCAAGCTAATAAATTCAACGGGAAAGGAAAATGTTAGCTCAGTAAAGTTCAACTAATTTTTTTTTTTATGGAATTAAGAGCTTATGGATTAATCCCAATTATGTGATTTTGCAATCTCATTTAGCCAAGTACATGCAATAATGCTAATAATTAACGTATTAATCCTCAAAATGTTCCATCATTATTCAAAAAATGAACATCATAAATAGTATGAACTAATATCTTACAAAGAAATCTTGGATGCATCATTGCGATTTTCAAAATTTTAATCTATATGCCATGTGTTAATTAGCTTCATTGCATGCAAATACATGTCAATTTAAGACTTGATGTATTACCAATGGTTGACGATCATGTGTTATAAGGATGTTGTTTGGTCTCACATCTCTGTGTAGTATATTGTTCATGTGCAAGTACAGCAAGCCTTTGGCAGCTCCAATAGCTATATTGATCCTATCTTCCCAACTAAGAGGTGTTCGAGAGTGTTCTAAATCAATTAGAAAAAGTTAGTCTCTTATAGATAAAAACAAAAGACAAAATTAAAGCATGTTTTCTTACCTGAAAGGTGTTGGTCAAGTGAGCCATTGCATACATATTCATACACAAGAAGCCTATTATTTCCCTCCGAGCATGAACCTAGCAGCACAACCACATTCTCATGTCTAGCTTTACTAAGTACATTCACTTCAGCCTTGAATTCCTTCTCTCCTTGGAAGCCAGCACTATTATGTTGCTTAACAGCAATCTTCATTCCATTCAACAAACCTTTGTAGACAGATCCAAATCCACCTTCAGACAAAAAGTTCTTGGGAGAAAATCCATTTGTAGCTGTATAGAGCTCTGCATAATTGAAATCTCTCTTCCATCCAACTCTTGGTCGTCTATTATGGCACACAGAACAAACTGGATTTGTAAATTCTTCCTCCACATGAGATTTTTCATTATTTGTAATGTGCTTCTCTTGTTGATTTACTTCTATTTGTGTTGCTTCATTCTCTGAAATGTGAAATAGTGATTGGTTCCTTGTTTCTTGTTGTATATTTGAATAAAAATTTGCCTCTTTGTATTTTTGATAGCTATACTGTGAGCTTCCAAGACTAGAAGTGGAGACTTCTGTACTCCACTGACTTGAAACCAACAAATCACTTGATGAAGACATGGACACTGCATGATTTACCATTGGTCATTCTTGATTGTACTACATAATCATCAAAAGGAATAAATAGGTGTTTAAGTAGCATCATGTATCATTGCATTAAAAGATTTTACCGAGTTTTTTTTTTAATCTACTTTTGATTTTTATAGTTTTGCGATCGTGCAATTTTGTTTCTAATTTCTTTTTATAGAAAATTTTGTTTCTTTTAATTTTTAAATTAAACAATGTTAGTCCACTCACATTAAGTTGTCATCCAAAATTAAATTGAAAATGATCATGTTCCCATGAATGACATTATCTAAAAGTTATTTAATCATGTTGACTTTCATGTAAAGAACATCATTATTATATGTTTCTTTTTTATTTCATGTAGAATTTATAATTTATTAAAACACTTTTTAAAATCTTCAATATTATTATTTTCATAAGTGTCTAACTAATTGTATGACAATATTATTCACAAATACTTTAACATTTAATGTTTAATTATGGATGACAAGTTAACGAGTGAACCAACATTATTTTATTTTAAAACTTATAAGAACCAAATTTACAATAAAAAAATTAAAAGACTAAATTTACACATTTGCAAAACTATAAGGATAAAAATGGATTTAAGCTTAGTTTTTTATTTATATATTTAGCAGTAAATGTAGCCAAAGGTTTTGCATGTTATTATTACCCTTATTAAGTATGGGAAAAAAAAAACATACTCTGTTGAGAACGTTCTTCCTCTTCACTTCCCGGAAGCATTTCATTATAGCTTACATTTTCTTGCCTGTTAGCATGTTTTTTCATACTGTCTATTGATTTTGGATCTTTCAACCTCTCAATTGAATTGTCACTTGTTATCCTATACATACCACAAGGAAGATTACGCATGAATTGCTTCATATCTTTGTGAATCTGTCTGCATCCAATGAAAAAGGCTATAATTTTAGCACATATTGTACAAATATAACCTTGCATAAGTAATCTAGGGATAATTTGATATCATAACCTAGTATAATTCTTTTGGTAGAGAAACTAATTCTACTTATAGTGTGACCTTAAATGAGAAGTTAGTTATGCATGCTCCGGTACGGATTCTCTTTTTAGTATATTGCATTGAACAGTGATAAAAGCAACATAGATCATGAAGTTTTTCCTATCAAGAGAGAGGCTATAAATAGGATTTCTCCCTCCCCCACATTATTATTGTGCTCCGTACGCTCGAAACTAATCTCTTGGGGATAACTTTAGGACAAAATAGGAGCCCTCCCATATTGTATTTTTGCCATACACATGAATCCTAGAATTGAACCTAAGAACAAATGTTTAAGAGATTCAAATCCTTTTCACTCGAATCGACACATGTTGGTTACAATTGGGTGTTGGAAAATCAATGGTTAATAGCTAAATTAATGATGATCAAGAAACAAATGAATAACTATATCCTTCTTGGGTAGATTTTAGCCACATTTAATGTGTGGTCAAAGTTATTCTTAATGATAAGGTAAATGATCTACGAAGATGTTTTGTTCTTACAAACACGATATGACTATGGATAAAATTAAAAATTACATCTACCTACAAATATTTAATGTAAGTCAAACTCAAATATTTGTATTTATAGTTATTTGTTGTAGATAAAACTTCAAAAGTGGTTGTTATACAACTCATGTAATTAACAAATAAATTGTTTGTAAATAAATATAAAGTAGACATTCTTACAAATTTTCAACTTTTAATGGAAGTTTCTGTTTATCATTACAAGCTAATTTTCTTGTAGTGTAATTCTTATATAAGGAAGTGTTAACCGATGTTTTGCATCATCCAATTTTATTCATTCAATTCTCTCGTGTAGCTTTTCTGTATAGATTTTAGAGAGAAATTATGAGATGTTTTACACGTATTGAATGAGAGTGATAATTGTTCTCTTCTAACATGTTATGAGAGTAGTTGTAATTACAATATTCTTTCTAGTGTGATCCCTCGATCTCTTACTTGTGTGTGTAGCCTTTGCTGGGAAAACAGCATAATTCTCAACGTTCTTTTTATTTTCATTCTTTCTAATATGCATCTCTCTTTCATTCGCTAGTAGATGTAGCTTATATCGGGAGAACCACAAAATTCTAGTGTTCATTTTATCTTTATTCTTTCTCATTTCAACTTCTATTGTTAGTCAAATTATTATATAAAATTTCCCAACATCAGGATTGTCAGTTACATCATCATCACCAAGATTTTATTTAACCGGTGTATCTGCATAACTCTGAGTTCTGAAAAGATTTAAAAAGAAAAAAAAGAACTCGGAAGATCCTATATTCTGGTTCTATAAAACCCTTTTATGCTTAAAGTGGGCAGTTTGTCACTTTTTTGTGTATCTTTGTGTTTTGTTCTCTGAACATGTGCAATACCATCTTAAGTAGTTAATTAATTGTTGTTGGATTTCACTTGCATGTTGTAGAGTGTAGACCAAGGCAAAAAAAAAAAAAAAGATTTGGAAGTTAGAAACGGACCTAACTAGTATCAAACTTGTCGCCTGAAATTCCTTGGCAGCATTAGAAGCAACCTCTGCAAAAGGGCCTACAAGCACTTCTATTTGGAATGCAATCTGTGAAACATCATTTCCAAAGAATGATTTCATAAACCCTTTTATTTTATGACACTGTATAGGTAAGATTGTTATTCACAAGATTATATTTAATATAGAATTTAATGGTTAGACTACCAACTAATCAAATATTATTATTGTGGATGTAATTTCTTACTTCATTATTATAAAAGTCAATAATTTATTTATGATTAAATGATAATATAAAATTACTTTACACATTCGGTATAAGTCATTTTCTCTGAAAGATATTCATCATATTAATACATCACAAATCTGTATAGTTTTTCTGCCCTACACAGCTTGTCATCAAATCCTTTTTCTAACTGTGTTCAGTGTTGGCTACTCTTGTATAATATTTCAGAATTATATTTAAGTATAGGGATTGTGCTAACCTCATTCAATTTACAGTAGTCAGAGATCTCCTTGACTTTCTCATTCATGAGATATTCTTCCTTTTTTTTGGTACGCCTTTTCAGAATTATTTTCTTGTTTGTTGAGATAAATGAACTGTAATTGGAATCAACTCTGACCATGTAACCCACTAAAGAGAAAAGAAGAAAAAAAAGTTAGCAATGTCAGTTACAATCAATAAGTAAAAGGACTTATTCAAATGATGACTTTTCTTTATGCATCTTATTTCATATCTTTTTTTTATTGGATTAAAGGTGTTCAAAGAAAAAGTAACTGAATCCTTACAACTTTTTCTTGGAAGGAAAGAAAACATACTGGGACTGCTAATCCAATCAAGGATAGCAACAATTATAAGCTGATCTCCAGCTTTAAGAGAAAATTTTTCCAGGGCCCCAAGGATTGCCTTTGAACCAACATTTCTTGATGCATCCTGGATCACCACTACCCTCTGAGCTTCAGTTCTCATCATTGGTTCAAACAATTGTTCTTCAACTTTCCAACAAGTTATTATTATATACAAAAAAATGGGTTGAAACTTTATGTGGTTGCCTAGACCTCTTCAAACAATACTAATTGCATAGCATATATGTATTAGCATTGTTTTAGAATTTGCCTAGTAAATATTTTAAATTATTTATATAACTATGATGAAAATCAGAAGCTACTACTAGCAAAAGTCAAATGCCTATTAACTTCGGAGGTTATAAGGGCTTGACACAATTATAAAATAAGGGTTTGTTGCATTAAAACAAAAAACATAGACAAGAGAAGAAAGGGTCTAAGGAAAACTGTAAAGGAACATATTTGTATATTGTAATTCTATCAAAACATGAACAATGAGGGGACATTGAGATCAAACACAACGAATATCAAATTCTCCAAATTTATTCTCTCTTAGGCACAGGCTGATACTTATAGATAAAAGTGAGTTAAAAGAAAATTCCAAAGGATAAGGGTAGTGATGGATCCATTAGAGCATCAGAGAGGGTTAGCAATAGCATATTCGGATATCCTTGCAAGGGCCCTAAACCTTTCTCCAATTAATGAGAAGCAAGGAGAATTTATTAACATGATTTGGGAATATTATATTATTTTCCATTTACTTTATTTTCATTCATTGAAGAAGCTTTCGGCTATATTTGCTGGACTCACAAAAACAGGAAGAAAGAAAGAATCTAGGGAATGGTGGTGTATCCTATGGTTTTTGAGAGTGAAACATTGTTGGCAAATATTTGTTTAATTTTTCTGGTTCTGTCTCTGAGTGGAGATTGATTGAGACTTTGTATGTACAAGAGCTGGACATGACAATGTAATTCCTAAAAACTTGAATAAAATAAACATAATTATTATGCAACTGGTTAGGTTGTGATTAGGTCATCATCATGTCCTTCTAAATTTCTTTCTGCTAAGGATAAGACAAATACCGATCCGGCTTTATGGACAATTCATTTTAATTTTTTCAAATTTTTATACCAGTTTAAATGAAAATATCACTGTAATTAAATAAATGAGTATAATTTATAGAGTTAATTACCTATACACTTCAGTGTAAAGTTTTTTTACACTGACAACCAATCATATCTTTTAATAGTGTCATGTCAGTTGATTATTTAATAAAATAATAATAAAATAAGTAACTTTAAAAGATATGATTGGTTGTCAGTGTAAAAATTTTTACACTGACAATATATAAGTGATTAACTCTTTATATGTATCACTAAAAGTTTACACTGTATAAAAAATGAAATGTAAATTGTTAATTAATTAAAAATTATGCCAAATATAATTTTTAATGTGATTATTATGAAACTCAATCAACTTAATATATGTGTCAATTTGTGATTCAGTACTGATAATTTAAAAATTATTTACATTGTCACTGTAAAGACTATTTTTTCTAAATAAATAATAACATTTTATAATGTCTTTTCAATAACTTTTTACTCTTTTGTTTTAAAATCACTGTTTCTTTCTTTTGATTTAAGATTTGGTTTATGAAAATTTTATGTTAAGTTTGCTCCATATTATAAATATATATGGTGTAATATGATATAAACTTTAAATTTTATTTTCCCTGTGTGTCCAATAACATCTGCGTCGTACTTACATCTTAGGATACGATGCTGATGTCTTAATTTATCGATAAATTTACGAAAAATATTAAGAATATACTGTTTAATACATCTATTTATATTATAAAAGTTCAATTACAAACTGGTATACGTTGATATATTGTTATAAAACTAATTTTACACATTATCACACCGACATATTTGTTTGTCTTAATTCTTCTTATCCTTTCACATTTTTATGTAAAAATCAAAATTAATAAATATCTTATTTTTATTTCATAATCACCTTTATATATTTAACTTTTTTTTTACTCTTGTGCTTAATTTTATTTCTTTGTCTATTTATCTATTTCCTTCTATCATTTTATTTGCATATATAGGAGGAAGAGAATTCATCAAAGAAGTAAAAAAAAAATTGTCATGGAAGAAAAATACGATTTATTTAAAGAAGTCAAAGAAGCAAAATACAATCTAAGAGATCATCAACTTATATAAGAGAGAAAAACTTAAGGATCATTTGGTGTTATTGCTTTTCTCTAATTTTTCATTTTTCTCCATTTTTAACTCTAAATTATATTTATCATCTTAAACTGCAAGAGAGAAAAAAGAACAGATTGAAGGTGTTATTGTTTTCCTTTAATTTTTCATTTTCCTTCATTTTTAACTCTAAATTACAATTTTCATCTTATGTTGCAATATTCTTATAAGAAATTAAAAGTGATCTTTATTATTTCAAAAAATTATATTGTCAAAGATGATATTGGTTCTCCTTTTTCATGAATGTTTTGAACTACAATTATCATATATTGTCATGCTTTTAATCTTCCTTATACTTAGGTGGTATTAGTTTTCCCTCTCTCATAAATAATATAAATTGGAGTTCTCATCTTCACAATTCTTATAATTAAGAAATTAAAGGTAATTTTCATTTTTTATTATTTTAAAAAATTAAATCGTCAAATATGATATTATTTCCCTTTTCTCATTAGTTCTTTGATTTGCTATTCTTACTTGTTGCCGCAACTATCATAAAAATGTTAGCATGAAATGGTTTAAAAGTTCTAGGGGTGGAAGGAAACATTGTTTAGTACCCATATATCTCTATTGTATTACAAAAATAATTAATGATATGTTAATAAATTATTTATATTTTTTATGTGTGAATTATGTATTATTTTTGTTTTTCTTAAGTAGTATATTAAAATTTATCATTTGAAATTCATGGTGAAATTATAATATTTTTTATTGTTTTTTTTTAATTTTTTAATCTAACATATTTGTAACAGATTCAAACTAATTTTACATAATTAAATACAATCAATAATGCTTAATTGATATAATAAAAAATAAATTTAGAATTTAAATTAACCTTAAACCCTAAACTATATTGTATCTAGTATTAAATGATAATTAATTATAAATGTAAATTGTATAATTAGATTTCAATTAGTTAAATTATATCACTATACTATTTAACCTAAAATCCAATTATTTAATGTCTTTGAATTATATTTAATGTGCGAAAAATCATATGCATTAACAAATAATTGGCGATATATTAATAAATTATATATTTTATATATTTGAATTATGTTTTGGTCCTTTTTTTAAGTATTATATTGAAACATCATTTGAAATTCATGGTGGAATTATAATATTTTTATCACTTTAATTTTTTTTAATCTTATTATTCTTAACCAATCTAAACTAATTTTATATATTTAAGTACAATAAATAGGAAGCAAATTGAAAACAATGTGGTAATTTAAGTTGAAAGTGATAAGAATAAATGAAAATAGAAAACATTTTCTTTAAACAAATATTAAAATTTCTACCGATTGTTACTAACTATACTTTCCTGAAAAATTCCAAAGTTAATTTGTAATATATATTTTGGGCCTAATAACAACAAATAAAATGATTGTCCTTTAGGATTTAGGATTAATTAAAAAAATTGATTATAAAAATAACAGTAACTGTTATTGAATTCACATTTAATGATAATTAATCATAAATGCAAATTTTATAAATAGACATCTAAAAATAATTATTTAATCATAATTAATTATTTTTTATTAGATATAATATGTCGCACATTTATTTTTAATTAATTTTATCAACAATAGTTAATCGCACATAATTATATTATTCTATACAATTGTCCAAAGATATATATCAACTTAATTATATTTAATTAAAAATTTGATTTCAAATAGTTAAATTATACCATTATACTATTTAACCTAAAGTTACAGATAAGTAACTAAGGATGAATTAGAGGGAAGATGAGTTAGGTTTAAATTTAAAATGAAAGATGTGTTAGTTTTCTACTCTCGCTCTCACTTTTATTTTATGCTCTAAAGAATCAAAAGGAAAGAAGATAGGAGAATATCATCCCAGAGATCTACATTCTTTGCTGTTTGCTGACAGAGGTAAATGGAGTGAGAATTTTCGCTCAAGGGCATGAGATAATTGATGGGTAGTGAGGTTGACCCCTAATCTTTATATGTTGTATACATTGTATGAAGGGGAGAATTCCAATTGTTTTTTGTCCTTGTTGATTGTCTTCCACATGATTCTATTACTCCTAAATTTGTTATAATTAATTTCATGCATTAAGTCCTTTAAGTAATAAGAATTGAGTTGTCTATGAGTTCTTGTAAAGACCCTAAGGGCATGCATAGAATGGTAATTGTGTGAGTGATTAATAAAGTTGTGTGATTGTATGAGATTTGTGCCTTATGGATGTGTTGTATGAATAAATTTGGGTGTTTTACTGATTAAATCATTATATGTAAGTTATGGTTCACAAATCATATGTTTCGAAGATCTTCAAGTTTTGGATGTTCTAATATGGTGCCAAATGCCACTTGCATCTCGCTAGGCATTGTGGTGTTCGAGAATATGATTCATTCCCTATTCTATCTATGTCGGGTGTGGGACATGCCTCGTTAGGCATCGTTGAGGCCACAAATCTTTGTGATTTTTGTGCTAGGTGTGGGTCAAGGCTCGTCGAGGCATGAGGCTGGCAACTACTATCTCGTAGGACGTGACATAGGTCACATCGGGCGTGAGCCATCCTGAGAGCTATGAGTGCTTTTTGGATAAGCTACGTCAGATGTGGATGGATTTTCATCGGGCACTAACTGTATATGAGATTTGTTTAGATACATGAGCTGAAGAAGTTGTCGAGTAAATGAGATACTTGATTCTTATTGGTAAATGGTGTATATGGTAAAGTGTATGTATCATTAATAATAATTAAGAGCATGGCCAATCGTATGCGTGGAAAATCATTTGATTGGTAAATCATTGACATATGTGTATTATAATGATTTCATGTTATGAAAGAGTACGTGTGACATGCATCATATGCACATAAATCGGCAAATCAACAAATTGGAAAATTGTTTCATATGCACTATGCACATATTGAGATTGGTACCACATGCATGCAAATCGAGAGTTTGTGCCCATTGCATTCCATATTTGCATGAAACTAAATGACTTATGATTGTTATGTTGTTAATAAGTGATTGTGTTGGTAGTAATGATTGAATGATTGTGATAGTTAATTGTTATTATCATGCTATTGTATAAATAATGTATGGAGTGTGTTTGGCTATTTGTTTCTTATTCCATATCATGAGCTAAAGTTAGAAGTTTTCTCACTCCCTTTTGTTTCCATGTCTTAGTTATATGTGTGTTGTTGTAAGTAATGTTCATCAGGATCTTGATGATGCTGGTGACGCGGCATAATCCTTGTCTTGGGAGTACTCTGATAGCATATGTGACATTGGGGCTTAGATTAAAGATATTCTTATTTAATTTCTAAGTACAAGTGATGGAAAACTCTTGGAGAATCCGAATGGCTTTGGCTTCTCCTTCAAGTTCCTCCCTAGACCTTTGGCTTCTTGGCGCTTCTTAAGCTTCTTCAAGACCTCT